GACATCGCCCCACCGCCTCCCGCCCGGGCCGCCGTGTCGCCCGGCCGCAGACACACCAACTTCCGGTTCCCGCACAGCACTTCCGGCAGGAAGTGACGAAACGAGGCCCGGCTGCTGGAGGGGGAGGGATTCGCGCAGGGCTCCGCCGCAGCAGCGGAAGAACACGTTGACTCGCCGAGTATTAAATAGTCCCGGTGTGGGTTGCCCCGGGGTCGTTTTCCCCGCCGGGAGATGGTCCCACAGCGCTGAAACAGCACCGGGAGCGGGGCCGGACGCTAACGGCGCCGGGACGAGGGGCCGCAGCCCACGGTGTAGGTTTGGGCAGGCTGAGGTGGGAGCCCCAGGGCCCAACCAGCCACACCAGAGGGGCGATACTGGGGTTCAAGAGGCACGTTAGGCTTTTACACACCGAGATACGCGTCATGTCTCAAAGGGAGTAGGAATTGTAAAGGCAGGCAAGGCACTTAAAAAAACTCCGCGCACAAACTGTTTCAGCAGTGCACTGCCCCTGATTTTACAGGCAAGTCAGCACCAGAAGGATAAAAGCAGTATTTTAATAAGTTACGTCAAAGTTGCAAGTTACAGCAGACCCCCAACCTCTTAAAGAACCCTAGATAGAAATTATACAAATCCTATAACTTACAACAGAAGCTTACATAGCGTGAGACTGTTGGACTTTTCAATTCCAAAAACGAGAACTGTTAGTATCAAACGAATAAAGGAATGTTTTCCAGCTGGCTCACAGAGATTGATATTGGCCTTAATCCTGCTTTAAACACTAAAAAAAAAAAAAAAAAAGCCCTCTGCACCTATATAAATCAGAGCTCATCAGCCAAGAAGAGCTTGTTGAATACTTGGTTTTAAAAAAACAAAACAATGAAATAAGTACAAAGTCATAAACGTTCAGAAGATATATTAAACATTCAGTATGGAGCATACACAGATTTACATGGCAACCCCGTTCAATACAAACAAAACACAACCCCTGATCCAAAGCCTTGAAAAGCAGTCCATTCACTTAGTCCAGCTGACTTTAGGAATGTCGTAATGCTCAGTCAGAGTATCCAAGTGCCTGTTGAAGTCCTAGGGGAGAGAAAGAGAAAGAAAACGTTTAATATTTGGTGCTGACACGACCACCGTTGAACCACAGACCCTCTGCCTCCCCACTTCTGTGTTTTGTGAAGGCGGAACAGTTCCTCCGACCCAACAAGCCTGCATGCTGTTAAATACACACTGGCCTGGGTAAATCGGGATGATTTAGCTTACCTCCACTCTCTGCTTATGGGTTTTCGATGCTTTCTTCAGGATCCTCTCCATTTGCTGGAGGAAGACACAAGAGAGGCCGGTTACTTCCAGCAATGAGCCCCTCAGAGGCTGCATCTGAGGGGTCGATTGGGGTTTTTAAATCCCCCCCCCGAACCCCCAGACGGGGTCTGGCCCAGGCAGGGCAGCCCTACCCGCTTCTCCTGCATCTTCTCGTAGGCCACCTGTGCCGGGGTCCGCTTGTCCAGGCCGCGCTTCTTCTCCTCCTCCTGCTTCTTGCTGCTCACGATCTGCTCCAGGATCTGGGCCTTGTCCTTCGCCTTTTTCTTCTTCCTGAGGGCAGAGGGCGGTCAGCATCCAGCCCCGACTGCCCTCCCTGCTTT